GCTTAAGCAAATAGCAACAAAAATAGTAACGATTCAAACAAATTGCAATTCACCTTTACCACTAGAATTTTCTAGAAGAAAGTTGCACATACACATATAAAAGGGTAATCATTTTGTTAGAAACAATATAGAGCCTACATGTACCTTGATATTTTCCTCTTGCAGTGACCTTGACATGGCAAGATTTGATGGTGAAGGGAACAACATAAACAGCTGCAAAGACACTTTTAAACATTTTTCTAGGTATAACCATCACCGTTCACCGTTACGAGCATGTACATGTTGACGCGAACACTGATCTCAAGTCTAACATTGGCTGGTGTAGTAACATGGTACTGACAGGTTTAAGGCATAAATAGCTAGCTAATAGGTATTCCACATGTGGAACAACATAAACAGTTGCAAAGACACTTTTAAACATCACATTTTTCTAAATATAATGCCATCACTGTCGGGAGCATATGTACATGTTGACGCGAACACTGATCTCAAGTCTAACATTTGCTGGTGTAGTAACATGGTACTGACAGGTTTAAGGCACAAATAGCTAGCTAATAACAGTCTCATCAGATTCCATCCGCCTACCTAAATGGATAATTAACCTTCTTACGTATTCAATAACTCAGTGTTGTAGTATCTGCACATGGCCAAAGGGAAAGTACATATGATATAAAAAGGATGTTTCATAGTGTATTCATTATATTCACATGAGGGCCTAAACAAACACTTTCGTTTTCACTCAAAGAAAACCTATGGATGGTCACCCTGTACATGTAAACCACCATTCACAGTGCATTCTGACAGTGTACCACTTTCGTAAATAATTTCATCAGGTTGGTAAACGACTGAATAGCAAAGTTATTTTTATCACAACCATTTATTTTTCACGAGCCGACGTTTCGGAGTGTACCACTTTGAATTAGCCTGGGTGCCATCCGATTTGTGACGGCAACCCCGAATCGGATGGCACCCAGGCTAACCAGAATAACCCTTATGAATTTTGCTTTCTGGTTATATGATCCGCAGCCAGCCTGTGTGCTGTAGGCCTGTTATTACCAGTACCAAGCCCCGCGATGCCTGCAGTTGGAGAGCTGTCCCACTCATTTCCTGTCTGGAATTGGAGCTTCAGCGGATCGATCGACCCAGAAGGAAATTTTCAATGAATGTCGCTGGACTGTCTGCACTTTCCAAATTTCCCTCACCTCCTTGTCATCAAATGTCAGACTTTGGGTTCGTGTTGTCACTAAACACATACAAGTCATGGACACTGGTACGTGCATGTACAGCGCCTGTACTTTTAAGATCATTAGCAGATCATCAGTGGTGTAACAGCATTTATTTGTTTCCCATAGTAAACACTACATAAAGTTGTTCTGTCTGTATTTTAACCTCCACCACGGGTACAGGTACAATGAATACCCTATAATATCTACATTTTGCTACACATTAAAAATGAAAAAAAAAAGTCCTGCAACAATCTATACGATTTGCTTGAACAGACCTTTTTAAAAACATCACTAACAACATGAAAATATCTATATCAAACACTTCCACGAGTCTCTAAACATGCTCTAAATTCTGTTCCCAATTACATATGTCACAAGTGTTCCATGGGCCTATAATATGGCATACAGCAGATTTATAGAAATTCATTAATCATAAATCAAATCCTTATTTTATCATAAAAAATGGATGTTTATTGGATGTTTATTTATCATCTAATTATGTCAAGCATCACTTAAAGCTACGTACGTACCAAAATCACGACAATCCGTCAGCCGGTTCTCGAGTTATCCTTCCTCAATGATGTTTAAACATCCTACCCTGCAGTTCCAGAACAAGCTGCTAGAAGGCCGAGACTCACGTCACTTCTTCCCTAGCCAAAGAGCTATCTACTATTCAAAATTCGTGACCCTAACATGTCCAGATCATGACATATCAAAACCGGAAGTTCTGCTGCAGTACCAACAAAAGCCGCCAGGGGGTCCAAAATCTAATAATTTCTGGGTCTCATCAATGCCTACCTACCTACGAAGTTCCATGACAATGCATATAAAGCTTCTTGAGTTATGCTGTTCATAAACTGACGGACAGACAAACGCTAACATACATGTAATCTTCTAGGTGAAGGTAATGACACTGATTTACAGGTACAACAAGTTCAATCCTTACACCACCTGGAAGAAAGCTAAATCCTGAAGTCCCTTGCAACAGATAATGTTTTGAGGGTGAGATGTTTTAGGCATACCTTGTACTATTCATGTGTATGTACTACCAACTATTACATTTACATGAAGGAGGCACACCCTGGTACAACATTATAATTATGCAGTACAAAATAGATCACTGAGCAACTGTATAAATTCTGGGAAGCCAGACATTTTAGACAACACATGTTCTTTCATCAGTGATTGAGAATTCGAATTCCATCTTTCTCACTCACTAATATAAGATAGGAATGATGCTACCTGAAATGTCTGGCTCCTTAGGGAATTTCTCCAGTTGCTTGATTTATTTGTGTCATACTTCTTCCTTTAGGTCTTTTTTCAGGCCGTCCTTGCCCTTCCATTCAACTACTAGTACTTATAGAGAACCTTATTACCTTCGCCAAGAAGGTTATGTTTTCAGGGGCGTTCGTGTATATGTGTGTGTGTGTGTGTCTGTCTGTCAACACGATAACTCGAGAAGGCTTTGATGGATTGTCTTGATACTTGGTAGATGGGTAGGTCTTGATGAGACCTCAAAAAGATTAGATTTTGGACCCCCTAGCGGCTTGTCATGGTACTGCAGCTGAACTTCCGGTTTTGATATCTCAAGATCCAGACATGCTATGGTGATGAAATTTGGTTGGTAGGTAGCTCTAGTGCTGGGGAAGAAGTGACGTGAGTTTAGGCCCCCTAGCAGCTTGCTCTAGAACTGCAGGGGGGTTTAAAGGACAAATGTTTAAAAGAGGATAACTCAAGAACCGATTGATGGATCATCGTGATTTTTGGTATGTAGGTAGCTTAAGTGATGCTTGACATAATGATATTACAATTATGCGAATATTGATGTAATTTGCATAATTAATGAGGAAATTCTATAAATCAGCTGCATTCCATGATAGGAAGTTCAAGCTTGTAACATATGTTATTAAGAACGAGAGAAACACAGGCAAATATTGATTATGCAAATGAAGACTTAATTTGCATAATTAATGAGAAAATGTTATAATTGCGTAGTGGTAACTGCCTGGAATTTCATGCTTGGGGTGTTTGAAAGTTAAGTGAAGGTGAACATAATTAAACATAACTTATTCAAATAAGGACCACATTTGCATAATTTATGAGAAAATGGCATTCTTTGTTAAGATAAAGACTGTCTTTTGGTGGAGAATATGATCAACAGACTGATATAATTCATGCAATTGAGGATCCTATTTGCATAATCAGGGTGATTAGTATATTTCTTATTCATAAAGGCTAACATCATTTGGCGAAGGTATGAGATCGTGGAACTCTAGTTACTGATTCTAAGGCTAGCAAAAAGTTACAACTCATCATATTAAAGAATATCATACAAGTGGCCATTAAAATCCCTTGGCCATGTACTTACACCAAACTGCAAAAGTCGCATCTAGAGTGGCTGAAAGGCCAGAGAACAACTAGAAATTCAGTTACAGACTCTTCAGCCGACTACCTGTGCTGAATCAAGTGTTTTTGAAATGTCAATGAACAGGGCAGATGGAAGGGTGTTCTTCACATTTAGTAATTGTGTTGAATCAAAATTTTTGGAAAATCTACTGAGGAAACAGTAATTGCATATTGTCAATATGTAATTTTTATTGACTGATACTAATAGTTAAAGGTTAATCTTTTTCTTAGAGCAGGAAAACAACATTTGTGTGACATTTGATCTCGTAAAAATTGACCAAACTTGCTGAAAAATACATGTTGAGAGCAATACAGACTGACATCATTGGGTTGGCAGCATTTCTTGCAAAGGTTTCATCCCCCGTCAGTGGTACTCTGCCAGTCTGGGTAAATGGATGCTGAAAATGTCAATATGAATCAAAATTTGATGACAGGGGCCAAAAGAGGTCTTAAAGAGGCCTAACCTTTCATTAACCACAATGAAAAGTGACCTGATCAATTCGAGTTTCTCATGAATAAATTTGAAATAAATTATGTAAAGTAATCCACGTATGTAGCATCTGTGTCCATGATATCACCAGGGTCCATAATATTGCCACCTTGAGAAATAGTGTGCTTAAAGATATTTTTACTGCAACATACCCTAGGTATGTACATTTGAGGAGTGCAGGAGTGCATACCAAAAGTATGTTGCAGTAAAAATATCTTAAAGCACACTATTTCTCAAGGTGGCGATTTTATGGACCCGTTTTGGACACGTTATACTAACATTGTGTACCATGTACATTGTACATGTACATGTAGTAAGTAAAACTACATGACATTGTAGGCTAGGCTTTCATAATTCAGTTAAATCTTTATTGATAACGGTTCGTGGCATCTGTGTGGTGTAGTGGATAGATCATCTGGCTGTCAAGCAAGGGGACCCAGGTTCGATCTCCAGGGTTGGACCCAGACATGTCCATACATGCACCCATTGTGCCCTTGGGAAAGGCACTTAACACGCATTTCCCCCTCAGGTAGAGGGATCCTGGGTGCCCTACTCGGCTTTGGGTTGACAGGGCATCCAGCCGTAAAAATCTTGCTTCAAAAAAAGATTTGCACTTGATGCAAGCACGTCTAATCCCCAGTTATGGGGGAAAATGATGTTAAAACTGGATAAGAAGAAAAAGAAGAAGTTCACCTTACTACATGTACTCAAGTTCAATCTGACTGCTGAGTGGTAGGTAACTTGTCCTGGTCAATGTCTAGGTCTGAGAGAAATACAATAAACTATACTCTAGTCTATGAATATACATGTACTAGAATGTACTAGGCACTGATTCTTGTGGAATAAAGGTTTCAAACATAAGACGCACTGGAGGAAACTTTTCCAAAAAGTTACCATGTTGGTATGAATACCTTTTTTTGACAGGGCACAGATTATGTCTTCCAACAGTAGCTTTTTAGTTGGAACCACAGCTGAATGACATTAGGGAAACTTCCATTCAACATGCATGCACAATACATATGCGTGCAAATACTGACTCAAAGGTCACAAAGTTGAAAGTAGTCTGATTTCAATAAGAATATCAAAGCATCGAAGGTAGGGATCAAATGAGAAAAGATTTCTGTTGTTAGGTAAGATTACACCACAGCATGGTGGCAGTGTTACAATAGCTCCTGATTCAAACAGGCTTGAATGAGATGTAGCTGATGGGATGGAGCTGGAAAGATCACTGTAACCAGGTTGTCAATTATCACACACAGAACCTTTGTTGACTTTCAGATAGATGTTATATCATCATCTCCAATGTTTACCAAATGTTGCATCACCCTCTTGATTGCTGGATTATGTGCATAATTTATCAAAACAATGCTAGTGTCACACAGCTGGGTGCACCAAAAGGCCCAAAATAAAGTTGTCTGAAACGCTTACAAATGATAAATGAATAAAGGCAAAAACAATTAAAAGTTAAATGGATGCAGATGTGCTGGAACCAAACTATGGAGCTTATAAATTAAAGCTCCTTTGATTGTCATTTCTAATGCATGGCAAACACTAACATTCACTGATGAATGGATCAAAGTTCTGGATTACCTTACAGCCATAAAATACAATACTCTATACATGGACTACATTTCAATGAGTCTACTAGTACATTCTCCACAAACTCTTTTGAGACATCTGTCAAGAGAAGGCATATAAACATGTACAAGAGCTGCAGGTAAACAGCCTGTTATGTCTCTTTAAATAAGCAGCTAGAACTGGTTTGAATCAGCCCGGGCCGAGGCCAAACACTGATGTTTAGAAGAACAGCAGGATGCTGTCTAGACTTAACTCAACATTCTAAAGGGCAGCATCAGGAAAATTTTCATTGTAAGTGTACCATGCAGTAATTAATATTGCTAGGCTTGCAATGAACACATACGCAATGAACACATACACACATACAATATGAATTTATATGTACATGGCTATATCATGTGCTAATCTTAGCTTTTCTAAAATTCTTCCCATATATGCATGTTGGCTCAGATAAAGCCACTACAATATCTATTTGTAGAATATGCATGGCATGTAGTTGCCTTCTGCTTCAATACTTTAATAGTAGACTATGATGTCAGATTATCAGTAATGGGACATACAATGTAAATGTAGCTATGGGCAGAATTGGCCAGGTCACAAAGTCGTGATGCCTTTCACTGCTAGTTCCTCTTTCACCCTTCTCAAATAGTCAGGATCTGGATATCCGTGGCTGCAAAAAAATATGGACGCAGTGTTAGTTTTAAATACATGTACTTGTACTGTAAATATTGAAATTTCCTAAGTGGTTTAATCTTTGCGTTTCTTGCAGTGACCTCTGCACCAAATAGACTTTTCAGTTTAATATTGCTATAATAATTGAATAGTATACTACATGTACAGAACTATGTGCTTCAACTTCAACTTCAGGATTCAAAACACTGAAAAAAACTTGCCAATGAAATTGCAGTGATGTACAGCTGATATTCCTGTTACATTTTATCAACTCTAAGAACGTGTGCTGTGTTGAAAATCTGCTGGGCACAACAAAAGAATCGTATTCGTGGAAGTGAATTAAATGTCACCAACATGGATGTTAGCCTGTGGTACACAAACACCCACTGTCAGGAGCTGACAGGGCCTGACCGGTGGAAGGGCTGCTCCAATGGACCTATACCATTATTACGTCACAGTTTGTTTACCGCAATGAATGCCGGTCAATCGACGTTTATATTGTACAGGGGTGCGTAGCGCGGTGTGTGTTGGTGTAGAGTTAGCCTAATATAAGGCTTTTAATACAGTACTACTTTAGTCTTATGTCACAACTAAATCACCCATGCGGCATGTAATGCTGTGTCAACAAAACTAGATGCAGCAAAAATCAGACATACCTTACTTTGAAAACTTTGAAATGATCTTTATTCTTTAACTGACCGTTCTAGAATGTTCTTTAGAACAGGTAAACAAACTGTGACGTAATAATGGTATAGGTCCATTGTGATGTAGACGGGCTTAATGCATGTATGCAGCTTTAGCTTTTATCTTTGAAACCACGGACCAGAGACAATTATATATATGAATTGTGATAGAATCCCAAAAATTTTTAAATAACATTATAAAATTTGATTGCAACTGAATGGGACACTGAAGTACATGTATGGCAGAGGTTATCTCTGCAATTTGCAAACCATAGAAAACAAGAAATGAAAATAGCTTTCTGATCCAAGTATTGTACCTTATCATCACCAAAAAAAATTAGTATATTGATTTGAATGAAACTGGGTCACACAGATTTGGGGGAAATGTTGTTCTCAGTTGATAAAGACAGTGAAAATTAAACAAGTCCTAGAGGACAATATGGAGAGAGCCTATGCTCAGTGCCTGAAGTAGTAGACTTTTTCCTTAAACATATATTTTCATGTTGTTCATTCAGTCAAAGATGAGAACAAGCATTCAAAATGGGTGTGGCCTAAAAAGGACTGCAGCAGTACATAGCTTTGTACTTAGTAGCTTTGTAAATAAATTACATGTAAAAGTGCTGTACAGTTGGTATTTTTCGCAAGAGCCTTCATGTAATATTTTTGTTTGAACTATTCTTTATTCATGAGAAGCTCAGAGAAGCTCAATGCAGGATCAATGCACAGTTGGCTGTTTGACTTACATTGACATCAAAGGGAGGAAATTAGCAGAGCGGTGACGTCCTTGCTTCCAGGCATTTTATGTTTATGGAAAAAAGGATACTTTCAAAACAGCGACAAAAGCTAGGGATGACGTATGAAGAAATGAGTCTATGCGTGTGTAATTCATAAACCTTACTTTGTCGGGCCTCCGTGTGTGTTGGTTTTGTGGTGGATGTCGTTCCAGATGACACAGTTGTCCATCCCTGTGGTGACAGACTGGCCCACGGTGAACAGCAGCTTGGTTTGGAAGGCCTTATGCAGCAGTCTGCACACCTCCATGCCCTCGGCAGTGTTGGGGAGGTATGCCCTGCGATGGCAGCCGTAGTACCGACGTCCGGGGTTTGGGTGATTCGACTACACAAACACAAATGGAACAGACTTTTAACACAGCTGTCAGTCTTTCCGATCAATAATTTTTAAATTCAAACACACTTTGATTTCAGAACACATGTACACATCATTACAGTTTACATTATTTCATGAGTTACCGGTTATCAGATACTGGCAAACAAAAAACTACTTAAGCATATACTAACATGTACATTTGTACATACACATCACAAATAGAAAGTAATCATATTCTGTGGCAGTATACTGACATTCAGCCTTTCAAACACTCTTTATTATGTCAATCATGAATTTACTGTCCCTAAAGAATGCAGCACAATGATACATCACCCTAGAAAGTCAAAGGAGGCAGCCACACATGTATGAACATAACTTACTGTTTGTATACCATCAGGGAAGTCATACATGACGACTATCGTGCCGTGCCGTTCGTAACCGGGCAGTGGGAGGTGAGGATCTACTTTCCACTCCATGGTCCCTTCTGGCTGTGCCCCCCACATGGTGCCGTAGACTTCACCGCAAATTGGACAGACCGGTTTGATCTGCATTGCACGGTCGATACAGGGAGTGCAAAACACATGTCCGCAATTTTGGTAGGGTCTTTGGGTTCATAAACGTGCTCCTGCAAATGGAGCAGTTCTCAGAGTCCCTCCCCTTATGTGTGTCTGAGTTCCTCCTCCGCTGCTGGGGGTGCCCAGAGTCAAGTCCAACATCGTCAATGTCCTCTGCCAGACTCTTCACAATAAGGCCACGTTGTTTCTTCTTGGACTGGCTGTGCTGCCGGCTTGCCCTCTCCCCAAAAACTGTAACCTGCCCTCACTCTCGGAGACGAGGCTGGTTCCTGGTCCGTGGAAGAAGCACCTGAATCCGAGACACGTCTTCTTGGAGAAAAGGAAGAGGGATCAGCCGAGTAGCTGCTTCCATGATGTACTTTACTCTCAGGGACATGGCTGCTGTGGGGTTGGTTTTCTGGCTCAAAACTACGATGCAAGGTTGAGTCTGAAGAGCGGCGTCTTCCTTCAGTATTCAAGGTGCTTTTTGTGGTTGTGCTGCTGCTGGTTGTGGACTGCTTGTTTGTTGGTTCTTCTGAGGGGAGTGAACTTTCATGCAACGGATATAGAGTACTGTATGTTGGCTCCTGACTGGGAGGATTATGCTCTACATCAGAAGGAAAGTGAATACGTGCTGCACTTGGACCCTTACTTGGGTCCGCTGAAGCCTGGGTGGTTGATGTAAACTGTTTGTTCTCTGTGTCATTGGAGGCATTGCGGAAGTCTGGTGTGACTGGTTCGTGACAGTCCTTGTGTGGACATGTGCGGAGGCGGGAGTAATACTTAACCTTACACTGCAGGCAGTACTTGTGTCCAACCTTACAGAAGGGGACTGTGCGAAGCTGCTCTGTCGTGTTGCAAAGGAGACAGTTGTCTTTCGGCTTCCCGCGGTCCCTCGTGCTTCTCTCACTTTGTGAGCTTGCCGTGCTTCCGGCCTTCTGGCTGCGGAGTGGAGACCTTGTCCTGGAGGCTTCCTTTTCTGGTGGTTGTTTGGGAGGTCTGTCCAGGCTGCGCGATCGCACACGGGGCTTGTGTACTCCGTGTGACTGGCCGGACCGCGGGTCAGTCTCTGTCAGCAGCTGGTCTAGCAGACCCCTTTCTGTATCAGTCAGTTTATCAAAGTTGTCCAGAAGATCTTTGATAACTTTCTCCTTTTCAGACATGGCACCTTCCTCTGGTGGGGGCTTTGTAGTAAACTGCACTGGACCTAAAGGGACATAAGGAGGCATACAATGTACAATGTAAAAAATTACATGCACACATATATTATATAATGAATAAAGTGTCCCTCTAACCCTCGGAAGACGGGGAACAACAGACGATAAACCGGACAGTGAGTGAGTGAGTGAAAGTACATGAAAGTATGTTAATTGTTGAGCTCAACATCATTTTAAAAAATTACAATTTGACATGGTTTCATCATTATCATTACACTCCACTTTAATGTTCAACCAACCCTGAGGTAGAAAAAAATCTTGACACTGATTAAACATTACTAGAAAGAGAATCCTTATTTCCCCTGAAGCATCTGACCCAACCACCTGTTAAAAACATAAATGGCTTTTGTGACAAGATGAAGCAAAGACAAGGACAAGGTGAATGTAAAGAGGAGGGAAACAGAAAGGATGAGCACGTTTGTCAGGGTCATCCTCATCAGGGCCTGCCACTTCTGCAGCTGCAGCTGCTGCAATCTGGTCATCACTGCTAGGGTGAGCTGCCTCCTGATCTAAGCTTGGGTCAGGATCTGTGGATTCAGGGATGAGGATGCAGGAAGTGATGATAAACATATGAGGTAGGTGGGAGGGGTTGAAACAGTAACTGTTGAGGATTTCAATTAGCATCCAGGCATTGTTTTGTATGAGTGTCAGTCCTTACAATTAAAAAACATTTTAATGTCTTACTAATCCCTCAGACCTTGCAGCCAGAATTCACAGAAACGCTAATGCATGCCATTTTCCATTAAAAGAATTTCCTCAACTGAAGCTTGATCAAGGAATAATTACTTGCACCTAACTGATGCCTGAAATTGGAATTATGCCCTTTGTTTCTGGGTGAGGAAGAGAACTTATTGAACACCTCTGGTATAGATAACCTTTGTAGCACCCTAAAGGTGCTAAATGTCAGGACAATCAAAACACTAGTCTTCAGTTTTGATAAAAATATACGGACAGGCTTTTACGTAAACTGCTGAAGAGCACTCTACAGCTACAAAATGCCAGGCCAATCTCAGCAAGAGTTTTGTAGAAAACTGACCTGTAGGTTTGTTTGAAGTGAAAATGACATCGCTCTTATCCTGTTTCCTTCTGCCCCCACTGGCTCCATGGGGATCAGAGATGGAGTGCAGAAGTTTGGGTTTGCCTGGGAGAAAAACAAAACAGATAGAAATATAGTTTTGACTTGCATAGAATGACTAAATGACCTATCAACATACAATGTAACATTACATGAATGTACACATCACAAGAATGATGTCACCATTTTCAAGATGGAAAACTTATCTAACACCTACATGTAGGGCCATCATACTTTGTGTGATTGTTGTACAATTGCAAAACTTTGGGCATTTGTAGGATAGTCGTGCATGTGTCCTAAATTCAGCTGTCATCATATTGAAAAGATCCTTGAAAATTCTACAGCATCAAATGACCAACTGTACATTGAATGTGACTGAGCTGTTACCTGTTATTATTTGAACATCCTCCGGAGGTTCTACTTCAGGCTCGTTGTCCTCCCCCTCCTCAGGAGCCATCTCTGTGATCTGGGCCACTTCTGTGTCTTCTTCCTCCACCTCTCTCTCCTCCTCCCTCCTCCGTGCAGCCCTGGGAGACAACAGGACCTCTTCTGTTGTCTTGGAAATTCTGAAAACAACACAATCTTTTATGTAGATATCATCTGGAACCCCGGACAACATACATCCTATGATGCATCTTTGGTTAGTAACAATGGAGAGTTTTGTGCGAAGATCATGCCATATGTAGTAGACTTGAGAATAAACGGGTGCAATAGTTTGAAAATCAAATAACTGCACCCATGACGTACTGCGATATAATTGCAGAAAAAAAGTTTGTAAATTGTAAATGTAAAGTTTAGTTGTTGGTTAAGTAGATAATATCTGTATAATGGATGTGACCAGGGCTTTAACAAAAAGTGGGGTATGTAATATTGTTTAAACCAATGCATATTCTAGTACATTATGTATAACAAACTATGCACAATTCAATTGGAGATACAAGTTTGAAATGATACAAAAAATGAATAACCTGATGAAGGCACTCCCTGAACTTGGGCTCTCACATCCCTCCTCCTCCTCCTCCTCCTGACTCATGCTGATCTCAAACATCTGCCTCAGGACGTGGACCATCTCCATCTCCGCATTCACCAGCCGAACCTCCCCCAGGCTGCCCAGCTGAGACTGAGACTTGCTGAAGTCTCGGACAGCATCGTACACCGCCTTCGCACAGACGTCGTTTGGGACACCGAAGATACCTGGGATTAAAGAATGAAGAAGAACTGGTTCATTATTTTAAATACACATTTACAAATACAACGTCATAGCCCAAGAGATAAATTTCTGTGTTCTATACAATGTGTATGCATTAGATACCCTTGATACCAAGAAAGTCTGAACACAGGAACACTATCGTTCTTGTGATGCCAGCAAAACCCTAGGCTAAAGTTGTCATTGTGTTGTTGTCACATTTACTGTATTTCAACTGTCTTGAATGTATGTCATTTCACATGTCAGCATTATTATGGTAAAGCTGACAATATTTTAAGACATATGCAATTCTGAAAAATGCACTGTGTAAAATGAACGCAATTCAGTAAAACTGACTACAAAATTAAAGCTCAGTAGAATAGACCCACCTGTACTGATGGCAGGGAGAGCAATGGTTGTAGCATGAAGCTTTTCATTAGCATAGTCCAGACAGTTCAGGAAGGTGACACGCAGGGCACTGGCACACTCCGTCTTGTTACTGTAGTCCCGCCACTTGGGGCCGACAGCATGGATGACATAGTGACATGGCAGGTTTCCCGCGCTGGTGTGCATGACCTGCGTCTCGTATAGAGGGCCATGCTTACTGATGTACCTGGGACATGGACATGCTGAATGTTAGGAAACTAGGAAACATCTTTCAGCTAATATTCCAATCCTAGGGTTAACCTTTAGCTATAATCATGGTTTTGATTCCTTACATTCTAAGTACAATGTATCATGATTGTGCATGTAACCAGTTACCACACCATGCAAGGAATTGTGGAATGTTAAGAAGTATCTTTACATTGCAATGCTAATTTAAATCCTAGACTCTACCTGTTACTAAAAGGTTTTCTTGACCTGATAGAAAAAAATGCACAATATACATGGAAAGATACCCTGTACATTTTGCATCTTAAGCTTACACATTCTAATTTTAAGTTCAAGTTTGTAAATCAAATTTCTTGTGCAGTCTCAAAATCTGAGAACCAAGGAGGTAAAAGTAAAGGAAGCATGAGGTATTTTACCAGACAGAACTGCACTAGAACTTGGATGTGAAGGATGGAAGAAGGAAAGAGCTACAAGAAGAAAGAAAGAATCAGCAGTTACGTGAGTGAGAGAAGTGTAGGTGTATAGAAAAGGGTAGAATTGATCTGTAATAGGTATGAGCAGTATGAGATGACTGGAGAAAATGCCTTAGACATTTTTTCCATGGAAAACTTTTCAAACAATTATACATACATTGTATGGCTCATCATAAATGACAGGTACATTTTCATTTAGTTTAGACTGACACTCCTACCCTTTTGTACTGCCAATAAGAAAATGACAATGAACTTTATTGCATATTCACGCCCTACATGGGCCAAAAGGCAAAAATTACATAAATTGACACAACAAAAGCATGTGGACTTTTGTGTGATCTTCTATGACACTATAACACAATTATAATGTTATATAGATAGAATGAATTTAACATCAAATGCACATGACTGTGTAGTGATCAAATATTATACATTCGTCAAGTACTCCATACTTCCTGCACTCTTCCTCCAGACTGGGCCCTGCCTGTTCCTGTATAGCTGCAGCGATGCCTGCAGCATGAGCCAGGTAGCCATTAGCTGCGTTCACAATAGCAGTGACCTTTTCCTGAGTCAGATCACCTTGGTACATGGACACAGTGATTCCCTCCTTCGTCCTGAACACGTATCTGTCACTCTGTGGATGATAAGCAAGAGCAAGAGAGACTGTCAGGATGTAAACTAAGACACTTAAGAAGACTATGATTTGTACAACACTTACAGTCTTGCCACAGATCAGTAGAAATGGGATGAAGAAGGTGTATGTTAGAAATAATAAAAACACAAGCAACCCAGGGGAACTCAGTAACAGTTTCTACTGTACCTACATGTATATTCCTTACATAATACAAAATGAATCAAGCAACTAGAAAAGTTGTATCTTGAGTGCCAGCTGTTTCAGATCTTTCATCAATGACTGAGAATGCTATCTGCAATGTCCAACATTTCCGAGAAATTATTGATTTATAATCGATACCTGGATGTGTAACCTTACTGATGTACCTACACTCTTGTTTTTTACCTGTTGTTTGAATCGAACCCCTCTGCTTCCTCCTGGCTTGCTGGCTTCTGATGTCTTACGTTCCTGGAGCTCAATCTCTTCACCATAGGGGTACTCCTCTGGGATTTTCTCGCCCATGTCACGGGTGACCTGTTCCCGTATCTCGTCCTGTAGGTTGGATGGGACGATGATGTGCCCGCCGAGGGTGTGGTGCCTCCCGACCTGACGCACCAGACCCGACATCACTCCTGACAGCTGGCGGAACTGGCTCTTGGCTTCAATCACCTGCGTATCATGGGAACAACAAGTTTTGTTGACAGAGTCAAAAAAAGGTAGTCAAACTTAAGGACTCAAAGTAACTCCCACACCATTCATGGTGCATAGATTGGTGTCCATTGCAAAATTTCTTTAGGTCTGGGCCACAGAACTCACTTCAGCCGGTGGTAATCCACTAGTACTGTAGTTGTGTGCTAAGCAAAAACAGCTGTATGCACCATTTTGAAAGGTATGACTTGGCCAGGGAGTAGGGACAACAGAGTACTTGCAAGAAATAAGTTATCATATGAATAGAAAGTTAATTTACTGAATTTTTAAATAAAAAGGTACAAAAAATATGACGTCCCAAATTATGACCAACACAAACACACCATTTACTGACCTGGACCTGTTCTCCAATGAAAGCAAACCGGTGGTTGTTGTTCTCCACCTGGACATACACGTCAGGATGATCCTTCCTGGTTTTGTCGATGGCTGTCTTGACCTGCTGTGCCAGTGCAGGGTCGTAGGCCAGCTCCATCACTTCCTGAACCAAGTTGGGGAAGACACTCTGGTACAGGGCGATGAAGGCATCCTTGGCCGTGGTCAGCTGATCCACAGTGGTGGTGGGATCTTTTGGGATGACCTTGAACTTCAGCATGTCGGTCTCGTTGCTCTTTGACCTGAACTTGACCCTGTACTGGCGGCGGATGTCCTGCAGCCTGTCCTGGTAGGCGTGGTACAGGTAGTTGAAGGTGTCCTGGTCCAGAGCCATCACGTCCTCATCGTCCGAGCTCAAATCTGACCCGTCCTCGTCATGTCTCTCACGAACTCTCCTCGCTCCGGACCCAGAGTTCTTTTCCCCACTGTCATGATTGTCGAACTGGGCTGCCATTGGCCGCTGGTGTCTGACCTTTGGCCTCACGGCTGGCTGATGACCTCTGGCATCTTCCTGTTCTGCTTCATCTATGATTTCGAAGCCCTCATCGTCCTCTGAATTCCTGGACCTTTGCCTCTCTGCTGCCTTTTCTCCTCTGGGTTTCCCAGAAGGGGAGACTTTTGACTTAGGTGTCCCATTTGTAACAGGTTCATCAGGAACTTCCTTGGCCACGATGGGCTTTGTGCCTGATGCATCATGAACCCCCTCTGTGGGCAGGCCATTTGGGATGTTTGTCTGCTTAAGTCTGGCTTGTGGGGATTCTCGGTTGCCAACCAACTCAGACAGTATGTCATGTACCTGGGAAAATACAAATGTCAAAAACTATCTACCATGTGAAAAAAGGTTGGAAATAGGGACAGTGTTTTATACTACTTTTTGTGTTCCACACAACAGAGATGGCAGAGCCGAGGAGTTTTTTCTATATTAGGAAATAAGCATTGGAAGATTTTATATTTGACTTTATCCAATATGTATAGATCTGCTGATATGAAGTTTTGAATTGTTATACTGGGGGATGTTGCATTGGAGATCTCATTAGACCCTTTTTTTCAGGGTGCCAGATATATGTGACCTGGCAGAATTACTACATGAACATGTTCTTTTAGAGTTAAGTGGCAAAAGTAATGAAGGGTAAAGATTCCCCTCACCTGTTGTAGTTGTGCTAGACTGCCCTCCACCTCGTAAGTGCCTCCCCCCCTGTGCAGGTTGATGCTCACACCCGTGTCTGTCTGGAGTTTCTGCAGGAATTCTCGGCGCCTGGTCGGCAGCTTGTCTACCAAGTCAGGACTCAGCACTGCTGTCACTACAGTGTAGATCTACGGGAAATGCAGCCAAATGTCCTACTGGATTAGTTCAAACATGTATCTAACACATATATCATATAGACAGTTTATTTCTAAACAGTGCTGTATATAATTCAATGGAGGAATTTAAACTATTTAAATGAAGCTTTCAACTACCTAAGTCAGAGAGTATATTCTTAGTTTACCATCATATTTATACTCAAACTAATAGAATATCTACAAAAAGAATGATAAGGCTGAATTTAGAATGAAGAACATTTTGCATAATGTAACCAGGGATCATGCATAAGTGAGTATTTCTGCAAGGAGCAATGTGTGTGTGGATCATTCCATTTCTTTCAAAATAACTTTTTTAAAGAAAGTGAGAGAGAAACCAGATCTAGAATACATTATTTGAACATATACATGTACATGTACACATGTATACGTACAATGTAGTAGTACAAAATGATAAGCTGTCAGGGAGACAGTACTTGAAAGTCAGTTGAAAGTCATTGAGTCCAAGGGTATGAGGCGATATCCCTGACCTTTTTCTCTTAGCTTTTTACATAAGTCCAACAAAATGTCTACCCTTGGCACAAATGTTCTAGTTGGCAATGTCGTCAGCAGTACAGATTGTAGCTGTATCCTTGAGCTGCCCCAGGATGAACCTTAGAGTTTACAGACAATTCTAATTTGGTACGTTTGACTGGGCAAGCATGTCCAGAATGTAGCAGTTTGATGTGGCAGTCTGCTTTGAAAATGTTTTCAGCAAAATCAACTGACCAGCAGTGCAATGCAGGAACATTTGCAGCAAAACACAGATATTGTTCAAAGTCAAATAAAGAAAATGATGGAAAAATCTATACTGTTTGCAAACAGATTTTAGTCACTGTAAGGTTCAGACTTCATGCCCAGAGCTACTAGTGCTGTATGTGTTTGTGTATCTGATTTGGAGGACTACATGACCATATACACATGTAGCTGGGTGGTCTATAATGTTAACTGCATAATGTCTACAGTATGTTCAAGTATATTATCAGACTGAAACTTATCCAGGTATACAGAAAATAATTTTCAACAACTAAAGTTGCAAACAGGAGGCATTTATAACTGCAAAATAACAGTTATTGCTGTACTTACAGGAGTGTAGTCCTGACTGTCACCACCCTTCTGCCTGCCCACAAAAAGGCTCTTATCTTCCAGGTCCATGTTAGTTATAGCTGTCTCCACCTATAGCTACGTAATATAGTATGCAGTCCTGTAGGAGAAATAAACAGACAGCTCCTTAACCGAAGAAAGTTGTACTGTCAGAATCTTAAAATGATCCAAAAGTATAATTGTTGGGAATAAGTAGTGATCTCTGAAGACTTCATCGATGAGCTAACAAACTTGGATGTAAGCCAGGACCACATTTGATGTTTGCTTTCTTATTATCTCTGTCAGATAAATTGAAGTTACAAATAAGTTGCTCTTTCACATGAATAAACATTTTGGCACTTAATCAAAATTGGGATTTCGTTGATTTGCCGAAAGGCTGTCCTACACCAGTTGAACAATACAGCTTTATGGTATACATTGTATATAAGTCCAGAAATTGTAAATAAGTCAACTCTACTAATTATCAGACAACTAGTCTGTATAACTGTAAGAAAGAAACCTTTTCCACATATAGTTTACAGGAGAGACCATGTAATACTACATGACATAGATACTCTGGCTGAACTGTGGCATGAAACCAGTCAGACAGGTCATATTTAACCTACGTGACTAGTTTCTTTTTGTCCAGTAATGTTCTCAAATTATAGTCTGCCAGTATTGGGCCACGTGAGGGTAAACAGGGGAGCTTATTAACCACTTCCACCATTAGTACTCTAAATAACCTTACCTTACTACTTAGACTGCACCCAAATCTGCATTGCCAATGCAGTGAAACTTCATGTACAACATGAATATGTAGGATATTGTAAAAAAATATGTGACATTGTCACTGTAATTATGACTAAATTAGTACTATGGAAACTCATTTCAAGTTTCTCTTACCAAATTTGCAGCAACATTGCAAAAGATTTGTCGCCAGTAAACTGGGTAACAACTGAATGTGAAATATGATATACGTTGTACTTGCACAGTAACTGTAGTGTCCTTCTAAGGGATACATGATCCTCAAACACTTAGGACAGCCTGTTTTGAAAACCTATCCTAAATGTCATAGGTCACTAACTACAGAATAACAATGTTTTACCTGGGCTTAGGAAAGATACAGTGACAGTAATGTTACTGCTTTAAGTGCCTCTTTTATGTAGAACATAATAGTCATAATGTCTTCTGTGTAGATAATTATGTTCCTCTTAAAATATGAAAATATTATAGGCTAAGCAGAAACTGAAACAAACCATGGATTTTTTTTCTCCCCACTGCCTCTATAAATCCTTTCCTTTGAGTTTGAAACATTATGTAAATTGATATAGCAGCATAGGGTTAATAGTTTTGGTGAAGTAGGACAACATACATGTATGTATACAGTGTTCCAGTTTGAAAAGGAATGTTGGTAACTTGGTATGTACCAAATTGTCTGGGTCCCTAGGGCCAGGTTGGGAGGGGCAGTGACTCACTCATTGAAAGTCCTTTGTACATGAGTGCTTGTAGTGTCAGTTATAACGTAATGTGCACGTTGTAACAATACTTTTGATGCTGCTCTCATCACTATAGACAATGAACAGGTGTGACAAATTTCAACAATACCTTACGTGGATGTGACTGGAAACACTGTATTGTACATAAAATATTCATGCACTGTGGACAATTTACCTACATGTACAGAGAACTAATTTACTAGCAAGCAATTCAAAATAACACCTGATTACATACAAAAATGCATGAAGAAAACTATGTTGTTACACTTACAGTAAACACCTTCCAGGTATTTTTATTTCCAATCAAACTTCAAAATAGTACCAGACTGTTTTGAATATCATTATAAAGTTCTGTTCAGTTGTGCATAAGTTTGATGTTTATGTACATTGCTTGTAGTTTGATATTCAAAATTAAATATAAAGTAAAATTACATTGAACTAACATCTTATTGTATAATCATAAACATGTAGTGTGTATGCTGAACATTAAACATCATATCCAACAATACCTTCACTTAAATGACAGACTAGTACTAGAGTAGGAATACATTACAGCCTTGAGGCAGATGTATAGACAACTAGATTCTACTAGTACTTTATCATATCAGATTATGTCCTTTACAATAAAACACATTTTGCTTAGCAAATTATACTAGTATTTGAACTAAGGTTAGTATGAGCAAATACCAAGGCAATAGAACATAAAGACTATTACGATTCAATACGAACTCAAACTGATCCTATTTCTCACTTGAGCTCCCATTAGATTAGGTGAAGTGGGTTTTGTATGAAAATATTTTCAATTGCTTGACAGCAAATTGTACTTAACAAGCAAAACAATTCTTTGGATCAAATATGTCAATTAAAACTGCAATAATTCAAAACTTAATTTTATTGATGCTCAAAAAGAATAAATTTTGTTAATTTTAAAAAGGATCAAAACTTTTACCACAGTAGTTTGAATTGGCTACTTCTGGTATAACGGCAATATAATAGTCGGAGTCATACATTTCTTCTTGATAAATATTCACTATCTGAAACCCACAACAACACAATTTATCATAATGTAAAAATTTGAACAATGTTTCCTAAAGTCCTTGAAAAGAACTACAGCAAACTTTTTCAGTTTACTAGTCTACAAGAAAGTCGTTAAATCAAAAATATGTTGAGTGCCTGTTAAGGAGGCAGTCCTCCGTTTTCTCTAGCAACTCAGAAAACAGAAGAGGAATGGAAACTGAGGGGAGGTACAGTATAACTTATGTGCCATGTCCCCCCAAGATCTCAAGTAGTGAAAGTAACCCAACGTAAACAGTGATGCGGGGAAAGGATAGAAACTCTTAGTGACGATTTTCTAGTCTTTGGATTAGTGTAAAATGGAGCCCCTTACCTGCACGGGGTACTTAGACAACTTGTCAGTCAGGATTCTTCCCGCATTTCCCGCGGAAAATAGAGAATTCGTCCTTTTTGCACAGTGTCCAGTTTGTAGAACTACATCAAACGCAAAATGGCGTCTCTGTGCTCCCCCCGGAAGTGAATCGTGAGTGGGGAACACCCTCATGCGGCGTTCTGATTGGCTGGAGTGTATGACGTCATTTTGGCGCTAAAGACTAATCTCCAATCACAGATTTGTCTACGCAGCGGAAAAGAGTAGCATTGGCATTAAACATGCTTCGAAATAAATAAGATTCGAAATACATGTAGCGCCGAAAGGTGGAGGAGTCCAATCAAGGACATTGGTGCGATCAATAAAAAATGAAAGTACTTGGGACTGATGGCAAAAAGTAATAAATCTGGTACATGTTTTGCTGGCTATTAAATGACGTGTCTAAAATGTTGACACAGATTCAGATTGGCTTGTTTGCTTTTGTTCCAAACTAGTTACATGAAAGTAGTGTAGCATTATATATATTATCGCAGGCGAAAAATTCACTTATGGATGAATTAGCATTGGGAGTGGCGATTTGAGTGAAAATACACGTCATGAGGATACCTTTTTCGCTGAGCGGTCAAAAGTCCCTGCATGTTACCCCAATTCTGTCAGCCTGCATTTTTTTTTTAAATTCCTTACTTGTCAGTCAAGTTGTCACTATCCTTGTACATGTAGTTGTACGTGGCATGAACTTTGTTCATGTTACCACGGTACTAGTCCAAGCGATCATACGCGCCATCTAACGGCTAAATAGTGTAGTGCTGTAACGCAAAATTCAAGGTACTAGTATTATCTAGCCTACCCCTAAAGTGCCATTTTGCTGTGTGATCCTACATTTGCCAACTATAGAAATCAACTTTTGAACGTTGTAATTAACTATGGAAAAGTTTCCAAACACACCATGGGTCGCATCTACGTTTAAACGTCTGTATTCTATTGTATGTAAATATGGGAATTATGGCACGAAAATGATCATAGAAAAAACGAACAAAATGTAGTTTTACCGTGGAGTGCGACCGGAATACATGCATAGCTCGGTACGACATTTCACAACGTTTGTCTCCAATGAAACCCAACGTCAAGACCTGTACGGATTAATGAAAAATAACGATACAGTACTTGATCTTCGCTTGTATTAACACCAGGACCGTTCTAAAGATAATGTGATGTGCGTTTTGACGCCATTAGCGTGGGCAGGACAGTCGTTCCAGCGGGCATCAGGGGCGCTTCGAGCGTCATGAGAAACTGATAATGTCAAAGCACCGCCATTAGCCGTTTGAAGTCCTCCTGGATGCACTAATATTATACTGCAGCCGCATAGGAACTGGCTTTGATCCTAATTATGACTTTAAGTCAGCCGTATCGCAAGTCGTCTAAGGACAGACTAGTAAGTAAGGTTGAGGGACTGTTACTTCGGAAATGTAATGGATTTGTTAGGATAGAAATAGCAATGCAATTTTACACTGGTAGAATCTGCCGGTACAGTTCTGTCGACAGGTGATATCGGGATTTCTGCTGGTATGATCGAGGATTCTACCGGTAGAGATAGCGATCGGAGTCTGCAATTTTTTCTGGGGTATATATTCGCTTAAAGGCAAACACTAAATAACAGAGGCAAGTGTTACTGTATATTTCCTACACGACCACATTTTTTGTTGATGCAAAACCAACCATGTTTGTAAAGTTTAGATACAGATTGACAAGGAATTGAACTACTAGTATTTATAACACTGTATCACGTATGCTAGCTCTTGTTGTTTTAGTACTTAGGATGTTAAGTTTTATTTTATACCTTTCTTTTTGTACCATGTTCAATAGTTGTTGCCATATATTGTACCACGTACAATTGTCGTGCAATGATACAATCCAGTACGTGAGTAGTGCCAGATAGTCAGACCCCAGGCTCTCGCTTTGAAGTTTGTCCAATGATTGATTGGAAAATAAAACGTTTCATCTGACTGTAATTGATATGGAGGGTACTTGGGGGGTTACCAGAATATCGATGCCGTATAACTGCTGCCTATTCCAAACTCAAGGTTTTGGGGATTCAGAATAATTATAATAGTATCTACAGAAAAATAGCAATTGCTGCCATTAATTACTTTTCAACGTCGAATCATACCACTTAAGATCAATGACTTCATTACGAAAGAATGGGAAACCATCCTTTTCCTATATATATCCTGATTTCAACCTCTACCAGGGGAATGGGTGATTCAGACTATACCTTATCGCTATCTTCACCATGCCCCAGACATATACAACTCTAACTTCCCCCAGGAAATGTCTCATATTCATCATGCATACACTACCGCTCGCGTTACCTGGTCGCTACAAAAGGAACATCACCACCACATTTAATCACAGGGCAGGCACGTACATAAGTAGCCTGGGTCACTGAGACTGTTTCCAGCGGGGTCTACACAGGCCGGCTCCTCAAGTCCAGCTAGCAGGGCCAACATGTCCCCGGGGACATTTTCCCACGGCCCAATAGTACATTAGTACATTAGATGTGCTACGTATGCATGTACGTGGGTCGATGTCCTGTGGCACCCCAGGCTGCAGGCGCACTTTTCCTAAAATTTAAACTCAAGAAAGGGTCAAGGTAGACATTGGCACACCGTCAAGTCATTACCAAACCTTCAAAACATCCCCAAGACATTTATCGATTCCTCTCCCATGCGCGAAGTGATGTAAGCTAACTACTTTGGCATTCCAGTCTTCTTCTGTTTTAAATTATTATTAGATCGTCGCCTACTCACTTACCGTTCAAGAGATACTATCATTGCAATTACTGTAGGTCTCATCCGTTTCCATCCATGAAGAAGATCTAGATGCCAGCTAGCGAGAAGCACTTAATTCTTGAGGTAGGTATTATCGCAAAAGGCATATGTTCTCACTCGAAAGCCTTTTCACATGGCGCGGCATATAGCATACAGGTCCAGTCCTCTCCCTACTTAAATGTTTCCCACACATTTTGAAGGATCACCAATCTTTTCATCTCGCATGGAAGGCCTCATCGAGATCTATTAATCATTCCCATGGTTATTATATATACATCAAGTTCTCCTGCACTCTGAACCAAATGTTACGATCGCATGGAAGCGCTTTTTTTGCGAGACTGGAATTCTTATTTTCTAGTTTGTCTGACTTTAATTAATCCCAATACGAGTGTGTAATGATAACGCATGCTGAGATGTATTGCTGGTAGCGAGCTGGCGGTCACAGGATTGTCCCTGCGTGGCTTTCTGTAGGCAACTAAGGAGACACGTCGTCTACAGTCGGTAATGGCTGTGATACATCTTCGGTGTACACAGACAGCTAGCGCTGGTTACTCCCTCCGGCCGTGTGATCTTGTACTTACCTGTAGACTGATAGATTGCGTTTGAACACAAAAATGTAGCTATTTGGAGCTAAAGGAGCTGCTAAGGCCAATGGAGCCAATACATATTCCACAACACCAAAGAATAACGGCGGCTGATTTACGTCATCTATACCACTCCCGCCGTACCGTATCTATTGTGTATATCCATGACGTTACATGACTGTCGTTTTGTCCCCCCACCTTTCCTACAGGCTGGGACCAATGAGCACCGATCAATGACAAAAAAATACGGCAGATTGCCCAACAAATTTCATTCAAAGAACGATTTTTAAAATGTTTTCTGTGTTTTTTTTATTTTTTAGATCATGTTTTGACATCAGGCATCATATTCCAACAATAAAATCAAGGGCCACAAATCCAATTTTGGCCGCTCAGCGATCACCATCAAGTGGAAAGGGAAGCCTTAGAGATGAAACATCCGGGGCAAATATGATATGCAGCGGCGGAGTGCCATGTCCATATCACTGGCACTTTCATCTAACGGATGGCCATAACCGCACTCGCCCGCTAGATTAAGAAAGGGTAGTGAGTGATGTGACAAACATTCATCTCCGGCCTAATAGCGAGTAGCTATTAGTCAAGTTCATGGTTTTTCAATTATCCTCTCCGCTGTCTCGCCAAAATCAATAGATGGAAATCCATTATCATTGGCCGACAGTTACCCTGCTTTGTTCCTTTATTGAGGTTAAGCCCCTGGTCACGGTGGACTCAGTTCTCCTTACCGGGAGTGGTTTCTCATTTTGCAGCGGCATTCAGCAACAACTGGTACAGACGAGCATGGGTTCAAATGACATCTATTCAATATTGTATGAAAGAAAAGAAACGAGAAAATAAAGACTGGTTTAATTTATATGTTGATAAAAAAACTGGTAGTCAAACTTTAAAAATGTTGATAAAGCTGCAAAGCTGTCATGGAGTTATTTTTCAATGTTACATAAAAGGAATGAAATGAGAGATAACCGACAGCACTAGTGCTGAAATGCCATCGTTAATATTGCATGGTTGAATTATAACGACATAACGAGGAGACAGGAACGAAACGGGACTGCTTGCACCTACTTACAATTAAGGCATTACTTACAGCTATCAAAGACAGCCACGTGCACGATGACAATAATTGCCTTTTATTCTCTCCCTATTCTCTGGGTAACCGTTAGTAATATTCAGTATGATGAGACATTGTAGAAGTGATTCTGAGCGAAGAAACATTACATTACTGTGTAAAATATTTCAAAGATGACTCTCATTTTCTATCTTAAGATAAGGATACATGATGTTAGAAAGTAAGACAAGAGGTAAAAGCATTCTGTACCACTGATATATGATTCACTCTATCATGTATTAAAAACTGAAAATTTGACATATGACCGCATTTCTGTTTTCTGTGAAATACATGTATCTTCAGCAGTAGGATTCAATAAATACCTCCGTATACGTTATATATCATATTTTTGGTCAAGAGTACACGTAATTAAGAATCTTTGTACTTTCGAATTCTTCATGGCCGTGTAATAATATTTTCCACCGGCCTGGATAACCTTGTCTGTAGCTGTTCAATACTAAGAACATATCAATTTCTGAATAAACCCTGGCGTCAACATATAACAACGTACATTTAAGGTAACATAGATAAATGGATCCGTGATAAGCCTGTGCCGACGTTAATATCCTGTAT